TATTTTAATCAAAGCAAAACCGAGTACATTGCTCCTGCTTCTTGCAGTGCCTTACATGATATTTCAAGTTTCCAAAACAAAATTCACTATGTTTTGGTGTCCTGATTTCTGCTGTGTGGTTAAGTGTCGTTTACAGCGTATTCTGAAGTCATTATCGTTCCATTCAATCAAGAATTGATTTATTCTCTTCTCGTTGCAATACAACGTAAATGAAAATTTGCTGATACCAAACGTTTTTGTAAAGTCATTGTATAACTGTTTCTTGTGAGTACACGTAAGCAAAGTAAAAGATGTGGCTGAAACAAGCCTATTCAGTCAAGGGAGTGTGCTCGCATGTTCGAGAGAAAGCACCAGCTTTTTTCAGTTAAGGGGAGTTAGAGAGTAGGAGAAGAAAGAGAGAGGGAGGGAAAGAGCATAAATGACGAAGATTTTAAATCGTTTTAACATATAATTTATCATGGATAGAATGATTTGAAAAAGTCCTCACACAGAGAAGAAACGTAAATCATTCATTACCAAAAAAATCCGGCCTTATCAATTTGAGACCCATTGGTCGACCTGTTTGGGAAAAATTACTATATTAGTCACTTTGGCCTCAATACGGCCTCTGCGGCCGAGGCCTCATAGTCCTTGTTACTTTCCGCACAAAGTCGTATCTGTACGATGCGGCATGCATAAGGAAAGGCCCACAAAGAGAGAGAGAGACATTTTCGCTTATATATTGAGATTTGTTAAAATTAGAGACACGAATGAAAACGGAGCTACATACATAAAGGGTTAGCATAAAAATATGTTTAAGCCAAACTTTATAACTAGTGAAACATGTTATATATATACATATACTTATAAAAAAACAGTAAGCTTGTATGTTAAATTTTGTATATTATTTAGAGATTTAAATAACTATATTATCATGAAAAATACGCCCTTTTAAGGACAGATAATTGTAAAAGTATTTAAAGTATGTTATTGGCTATGATATAATATTTGCCTCATCCAAATAATTGATAAATTAAGATAGTATGTGTGATAAAAACTGGCATACGTTATATATATTATATATATACTATGTTATAATAGTTGTATCGTTAAAATAATGGTCCTACTGATAACTTTTTAGAAGTGAAAACTACAAGGTTTGATGCCCTAATCGCATGTTCAGACAGCCTACGATGAGCTCATCATATTATTGAACTATTTGTTTAAAAAACACTACCAGCACTAATCTTAGTAACCCGTTTTTCTGAGTAATACCATCCATCTATAGAACATTAGTAACACGTTTTGCTGAGTAATACCATGCAGCTATAGAACGTTAGTAGCGCAATCCACCTAGTAGCACCATCTTCCTTTGTAAAACACATGTAATACAATTAAATATATAAATGAAAACTGTAAAAATAAGCAGAAATGAGTTGAAATTTGTATGCAATCTTACTAGAGAAACACCGTCCACCTCTGTAAAACACACACAATATACCTAGTTAGGCCATCCATCTAGTAAGACCATACAAACACTACCCTTAATAACACGATTCATCTATAGAACTTTATTAATACAGACTGCCTATAGAATCTTGCTAACAGCATACACCTACAGTAACAGCCCCTCCTGGTATGAACTATAGTGTCACCCCTCCCCGAAGACAACAGCTCCCTTTGGTGCCACTGCACGGAAGCATGCCCCTAACAACGCGCTCTCTAATGTTACTTAGTGGAACTATGATGTAATTGTCTCTGGTTCATGACATTATGATATTATCGTCTTTACACCCAACCCCTGAGACAGCAATTTACCGTGCGGTGTCTGAAATATCAGGAAGTGGGCTGTAGAGATCACCAAAATATATGTGAAGAGGTCAGAGCAGCCGTCTTTACATTAGGTTTTCAAGACGTGGGCTCTAGAGATGACCAAACATATTTTAAGAGATGAAAGCATTCTTCCATACATTAGATTATCAGGAAGTGGGCTGTAAAAATGACCTAAATATACGCTAAGAGATTAGAACAGAATTATTTACATTAGTTTATCAAAATCTATTAATTCTAATGCAGGTCTTCCGTGGGATATTTAAAAATCTCCAGTTTACTGAGACATAAGCATGATTATCATACTATTCATCTGTGTAACTTACATTTGCAACCTTTACTTCAGACACGAACTTACTCGTTATGTAGTATATTGCTATGCATGTCTGGTCCTGGTAAACAAAAACACTACAAACACTTAAGCCGATTTGGGTCCAGGTGTCAAATGGCTCTTCAAGCCAGCAAAAAAAAAAGTAAATGAATTTGACGTTAAAATATAATTCACCTCCTGACAATTACTTTCGGTTGACTTATCCAGTGTTTATTTATCATTTTCTATTTATTATTACACATACACATGCAGAAATATACGTATATACAAATATTAGAGTTAATAATAGTTTTGTAGTTATATTTCTTTAAAAAAGCTATTTTTCTCAACATATGAAAAATACAATAAAATAATTTTAATAGTCTATATATTTTGTATTGTATAAACTGTTATAAATACGATTAGCAAACTTAGAATATAATATCTGAAGTTTTTAAAGCTTAAGAGGTAAATCATTTGTAGACAATAAGAAAATCCGTTTGCTTGTTTGTTTCTACAACATGAGTTATTGAGAAGATATCGACGATATGATCATTTTTAGGTAGGATTAACCTCAGGAATATCATGAGATTTTAAATAAGGATCAATTACGGGATTTCTTTGAGATTTTCATTAAAGATTAGCCACTGACATATCTCATGATTTCCAATCATGATTAGCCACAGCAATGTCATGAGATTTTAAATGAGAATTTTCCACAGGAATGTGAAGATATATCCCATAAAGAATAACCATAGCAATGCCACTGGATTTCCAATAAGGATTAGATAGGAGAATGTGACATATTTCCAGTAAAAGTAATCACGGGAATATCACCAGTATCGAATTAACGCATAGGCCACCTAGGCCCAGGCGTAGGGCCCCGGCCATACAAGGGCTCCGCTGGCCAACCAAGTAAAACAAAAAATATGGTTCATAAAACTAGCATTATAGAGGAAAGAGTGAATTATTATTATTATTTTTATTACTATTCCCAAATACTACTTGGGCCTAGGGCCCCATTAAACTTAATTCGGTACTGAATGTAACATGAAATTATTGTGTTCAAACTTATTTTCATCCAAAAATTGGATATCGGATGTTTATACCTATACTAAGTCTATCAGTTACACTATAGGGTCCGTTTCATTGGAAGTGTATTGTGAACACGGACTACTAGTGCGATCAAACATAAGTGAAGCTAGTGAAAATATACAAGTTAATATTACTCCATGAATTGGACATGGCACGAAAAGGGCATGTTAATTATAAATGCGGACAATGGACAAAATTTAACATACTGTCAGTAATGCAACAATGTAACAATTCCTGAGAGCGAGGAAGAGGTTAACGCTGAACCTGGCCCTACTTGGTCCAAACATGGACCGAATCCCGATGAAAAAGAAAAGCAAGTCTATCCAAATAGAACGTAAAAATTAGTATCTTTAAAACCCAGAAACAATATGTCAGAACTAAAAGATAATTTTTTTAGTAAAAGGCATGTGTTAAACTTAAAATTTAATAACGTGTTCTTGTTAAAAATATAATTCAAAGATTTTTATGGTCTTCTTCCTTCCAAGAACAACTCATCAATATAAATTTACTCTATTAGATCTCATTTCGACGTATCCGTGTTTTCATAATGTTAAACTACCCCTGATTCGTGAAATTTATCCTTGTTTTACATTTTGAGGGTCAGTGTGTGTTTTTGTAAGTTTAGTTTACTATGTAAGTATAATTTTCCAAGCATTTTTCCTGCTATAACAGCCAATATTTCTATCGTGCTAAGATACCTTTCAATTACAAATATTCACGATACTTTTCTTCTTTTTTCAAGTATTAAAGTAAATAGTTCCTGTCTAGTGTCTTGAGCGTGAGTTCAATTTTTCAAGTGTGTAAAACAACGCTTATTATAAATTGTGTTCACTAACTAAACCTTGTGATAACTAAACCTATATCGCAAACTAGTTTTACAGACTTTGTTGAGTATTTTCAGAAAGACAGGGTTTCTCAGTTGATGGTTCCATGAAATGTAAAACAACAAGACAACTGCTAAAAGCTCGCTAAGAGTCCAGAGATCTGAATATTTTATATTAACTTTAAGACAATACTTTGAACTCTTAAAAACATGTCATATTCATATAGTAATCAAATTTGAGTGGTTTTGGTATATTGAAGTAAAATTAAAGAATAATGACTAATCATACTGACACATAAAGTTCATATCTAATACTAACCATACGAACATTTAAAATTATAATCTAAAACTAGTCATTCTGATATATAAAAGTCAAATCTCAACGAGTCACAATGACATTTGAAATTATAATCTAAAACTAGTCATTCTGATATATAAAAGTCAAATCTCAACGAGTCACAATGACATTTGAGATTATAATCTAAAACTAGTCATTCTGATATATAAAAGTCAAATCTCAACGAGTCACAATGACATTGGAAATTAAAATCTAAACTAGTCATTCTGTTATATAAGAATCAAATTTAAAGACTAGTCATACTTGCATATAAAAGTCAAATCCAAAGACTAGTCGTACTCAGATATAAAAGTCAAATCTAAAGACAATTCATACTTAGATATAAAAGTCAAATCTAAAGGCTAGCCATATATACACGTAAAAGACAAATCTAGACACCAGTCATACAAATAAAAGTTATTATACCAACACTTAAAAGTCATATTGCAGTATTTGTCATATCAAAACGAACTCTAGTGACTCGTCATGCTTAAACATAAAAGTATAAATTGTTTATATCTAACGTTACCATCTAAGTGACTCGACACACAGCTACACATAAAAGTCAATCTCTGTTTATACTTAGATATATAAATTTGTATGTGATTTCAAATGACCATGCTTACCTTTAGAACAAGTCTTTCCAATTATATACAAAGGGTAATCAGGCTTGCACGCGCATCTTTTCTTTTCATTACAGTAGGAATTGTTAATGTGACACATTCCTAAGTATCCACAAGGTTCGTCAATATCAAAGGTGCCTACAGCGGGAATAGAATATTAAACAAATGGTTGTTTAAATTGTTAATATTGTGTACATAACGTAAGCATGTGACTACAATACGTATACTGAAAATAGAAAGAAAAAAGAAGTGATTAAGATAATGGGGTTAACTTTCAATAAGCAGAAAAAGCCTTGTATTATATCCTACCTGAAGACATAATTTATCTCCATCAAAACAAACTGATCAAAAACATTGAGTGAAATCATTCTTATTGCATGTAAGTTATGAAGACGACTCTCGGCAATAAATTGTGGGTTTAATTGCAATATTTAACTGATCAAAACCATTGAGTGAAATCATTCTTATTGCATGTAAGTTATGAAGAAGACTCTCGGCAATAAACTGTGGGTTTAATTGCAATATTTATTGTATTTTTTGTGTGATTCGTATGTTATTAGAGATCCTATAACCAACAAATTCATAGACACATAACTAGTGTTGTTTTTTTATATTAAAATAATTTAATTTTAAATAAAATATAATAAGCCGAATAAGAAGAATAGCGTATGTTAGAACCCCTGGGCTCAAATAACATAAGATAATTCTAAAACTTATGAGTGAAAGCAAAGAAGAATATATAACAATGTATAACGTTCAGAGAGTAATGAATTATTTGGTTCTTCACGGCTATCCCTGCCTACTTTATCTTTAAGGAAATTATCGTGTCAGCCTTCACTACTGTCGATGGAAAATTATCCATAAGTTAATCACCTTGTTCGAAACTCTCTTAACTGGAACTTAACTTATCTTTTACAAATCTTAAAATATCATTTCATAGATAAGGAGACCAAAACTATACACATTATTCCATTTTAGACCTGACTAGTGATTTGTATAAAGATATAATTACCTCTTTTGACTTTTAATCAATATCAATATTAGCTTTACTACTAGCAACAGCACTGCCTCGATGTCTTCAGTGACTTATCCATCACTACGCCAAGATATTTTTTTTTCAGTCACGTTATTGAGTTGGTTCCCATATATTTGCCCCCCAGTGGCTGAACGGTTAATCTACAGGCTTACGACGCTAAAAACCGGGTTTCATTACCTGTGATAAACATAGTACAGATAGCCCATAGTATAGCTTTGGGCTTAACAACAACAACCGACTCATCTATTTTAAACATGTGTTCCAAATTACGATAATCTAAATGCATTTTCTCTCACTTACTATAATTAAAAGTCATTTGCGAAATATGTGTCTAATTAACCACCTACCAAAGTCCTTCTGCAATACCTCAAGTTTCTCAATACAGCTCAAAATATCCAAGCATTTATTGAAATCCACAAATTTTACTATTTTATTAATTATGCCCCTATCAGTATCACTAATTCAAATAAGAAAAGAAAGGGCCGAAGCATTGACTCTTAAGGCACCCTAGTAACTAAGGTCCAGTTTGACTGGACGCCATTAATAATATTTTGTTTTTATTTTTTCTCATTCAGCCAACCTACAATCCAATTTATTAATATTTCCCCAACCCCTGCCTATGCGATTTTCTTAGTTAATATTTTGTGTGCCTCTTTTTAAATCTAAGTACACCAAGTCCCCTCACTTTCCATCACCCAACTAACAAGTAACATCCTCGTAAAATGTTAACAGATTAATAAGGAAAGATTTCCCTTTAATGAATCCATGTTGATTTTCTTTTATGTAAGCATATTTTTAATAGTGGAGAAAATGTTTTTAACACCTGTCACACGAGCCAACCCGGTATCTTAATGTGGATCCAAAAAATGGGTAATTCTAGAAAGGTTTCGTTGTTTTGATTAGACACAAAGAAGATGTTTGACACTATTTTCGAGGTCTAGGTCGCTGCACTAGACCCGTGACCTGACACAAGACCATGAGAGCCAACATGGAGGAGTTAACTTGTAAATGTAAAGTAAAACGATGTAGTAATGAAACATGATTGAAATATTCTAGATGTGGTTGTGGATATGATGGTTTAAGTGTAGCATTTAAGCTAAACCGTTGGTCCAGGTCGGATGAGGGAAGAACTTATTGAAGATATTCCAGTCGATTGGACATACCATCTGAATCGGGATTCGTCAGTTAATTACTGCATTGACAGCAAAACAAAAAACTGGCACAGTAGTATCGTTTATCTTCAAAAAGTGGGATTGGAATCATATATAAGAAATCATTAGTTTCAATCATTAGCCCAAAGATACAGTGTTGAAGTTGAAACAGATGCAAGATACATTACAAGACCATTTCTCTAGCGAATCTTAAATTAAAAATGCCATTTCTGCAATGAATAGTAAATATAAAAAGAATGGTATAATGCCCAGTGTGATACCACCATAGTATAATCCATATAGATTTCACCATGTCATGTTTTCTTTTTCTCGTTTTAGAAGTTGTGCCCAACTTCATTCATCGAGATCTGTCGAAATAACCCTAAATCCTCGGTTTCCGGAATGACTCCCCTGTTGACCATCCTAGGCTCAGTACCAAAAGATGCTGGGCTGGCTCGCGTGGCAGGTGTTAAATACTATATTCTAATTAACCTTTTAAAATAATTCTCCATGATGTTTAATTTTGGTTCTATAATACTGGTGGCCAGAGACTCTTCAAACCCTAATGTTCTTTCATCTGTTGCCTTGAATAAAATGTCAAATTCTTCGTGTTCTCCAGCATGCTATGGAATGTGATATTAAATTTCGACATTCTATTCAATGCAACACAAGAAAATACATTAAGGTTCAAAGAGGCTCTGCCCATCAGTACTATCAAATCGGGAATAAACACCATAGAGAATTATTTTAGAATATATTTCATTAGATAATTTTGCAAAGCTTCTTTTTTTAGGCTCTCTAGAATTTTTCCCACTCCAAAAGTAAGACTAACTAGTTTACAGTTCCCAGGACAACTCTCATCAACCCTTCTTAAAATAGGAACACCATAAGCAATCCTCCAACGATCAAGAACTTGTCCACTGTCTATTGACCTACCAAAAATGGATTAGAAAGGCTCACATAACTCTTTTGTAAGCCTTGTCTGGTTCAAATTATTTACTTGATTTCTCAATCTTTCTATTAACCATAAAGTGATTAATATCTACGTCATTTAATTCAATCACAGTATTTCACATAAAAGGGTATATTGCTAACATTCTCTCTAGTAAAAACAGACGACAAAAGAAAATATTTTAAAACTAAGCCATCTCATATTCTATAACATAAATCTTGCTATCAACATCCTTTAAAAGTTCAATTCCAATATCAACAGTTTCGTTTATTTTAAACTAAAAAAACCTTGCTGTTAGCTTGATCATTATCCGTCATATTTAATGTTTTCTTTTTTTAACAAATCACTAGCTTTCCTATAGTTCTGTAAGTCTGCAAATATTCAATTTTATCTGTTAGCTCAACTCTTTACTTATAGCATTTATCCTTGATTTATGTAAAGTGAAGTTTGATCTTCCCTCCCATCCTTTTCCTTGTTTCATAAACATGCCCATCTTGAATTAATTTTTTTTTCATTTCTCAGGTCTGTCCCACATCATCTTTTAACTAATTATCCTAATTCAGTACTTATAAATCTTGCCTCGTGGCTTAGAAATTGACTTTTGGAAATTAAGAACTAAAATTAAATTTTTTATCTCAACATGTAGCAAGACATCAAACGTGATTATTCAATAACCACCACTATTCCCCAAATGTTTCCCTAATTCAACTCCTGCAACAATGTTTTTACTGGTCGAAAATAAATCGAATTACATCCCCCCCCCTAACTGGCTTTCTGTGCAATGTTTTGAATTATTTCATATATAATGTATAAAATATCCACTTTTTAAGTTGTATTATCTTGCTAACATTGTGAAAGAAAAGGAGAAGAAGTAAACTGAAAACTATGTTTTACAGAAACTTTGAGACCCAGCTGACTTGAGTTGTAAATAACTGAACATGCGTAAAAATTAGCTTCCATATTTCTGAAGTTGTTTAGTATAAAAAACAACAACAAATGTATAAACATAAACAGGGAAAATTACTGATAAATAGTCAAAATTGTTGGTGTTAACTCTTGTTCGTCTTAGTCGTAAACATTCTAAAATCTTAAATACCGCGAGATAAGCTACTTGCATTATTCTCTTATTCACCAGCTATTTCAAAGTTTAAGCGGGGCCGGCACTAGCGGGGGCAGGGGCAGGGCCCCCCTTCCAAGTTAATGTTGTCCATGAATATAATTTTAGAGTTGGACCCATTATATGTCTCATTGTGCCTCATTAAGTTTGTTTGTTTGAAGTTAAGCACAAAGCTACACAATGGGCTATCTGTGCTCTGCCCACCACAGATATCGAAACCCGGTTTTTAGCGTTATAGGTCCGCAGACCTTCCGCTGTGCCACTGGGGGCTTGCTAATATAAAAATACTGTTTGGAAACTGTTTTTAAATTTATCCATTAGTGTATTTCACACTTGTTCACTCTTCATCTTTTGTTATTATACTTTTTGGGTTCATAATAAATTGGTATAATATTAGTGTTGATTAAATTTAGTAAGAAATTAAGAGTACGACTTTTACTATGATTTCTTTACAGCTTTTGAAAATCGAAGTCATAACGTAGAAGACCGTATGTATTTTAGACTTACAATTATTTGGAAAGCTTATAAATAATTTATGAAAGATTTCAGCACATTCCGAGCGAATAACGGTTTTTTTTTTAGAATTTAAAATACTAGGGTTAGTTAAATCAATACAAAACTTTTGTAATATTCCGTTTTCGTATGTTTTATTTACACAAAAAACTGTTCAGTGGCAAATCTTACTCAGAGTTACTTGAAAGACACAACTGACAACATTATTTTACGATGTACTAACAAGTATTTTCTTCACTTTAAACTTCTCGTATCAGAGCCAACCGCTCGATCACTATGGCCGAAATCACTGTGTCATGAAAATGACAGAACAACCATAATAAGTATAACAATATCCATAAAAAAGTCAAGCGATGGTTCTTGGAATACGCTATACTAACTTAGAAAGTTAGGTTTTTCCCGGTATTTTGTTGTTTATTAAATTTCGCGCAAAACTACTCGAAGGCTATCTACGCTAGTTGTCTTTAATTTTGAAATGATAGACTGGAGAGAAGATAGCTAATCGATACCATCCACCGCCAACTCGTGGGCTACTGTAATAGAATAGGGGTGTTTGACTGTTACTCTTATAACGCACCTACGATCTCAATGTGCGAATCGCGATGTTTTTGTTTGTTTGTTGTTGTTTTTTTGTGGTACGGGGTGCGCGCAAACCATGAAACCCCGATCCACAGTCCGACACGCTAACCATTGGATTGCGCTCGGCTTCCCAGAATGTTTACTGTTCTTAAAACCGTTGTAAAAAGGAATAAACTATTATCGATTTTAGCTATAGTTTTGGAGAACAAGAGCTTTAGTTACAATTATATGTACGGCTGGGCATAGCCTACGGGATCCGAGGATTTGCGTTTTGTATCCCGATGCCGCAGAAACGCACCCTCACTTTGGGGGCCGTGAGTCCAATATACGGTTGACGGTGAAATACCACTATTCAGACAGACGAAGAACGTCCAGGAGTTGGAAGTTGGTACTCTTTTCTGTATTCGGGAGTTGGAAGTTGGTACTCTTTACTGTATCCAGGAGTTGGAAGTTGGTACTCTTCACTGTATCCAGGAGTTGGAAGTTGGTACTCTTTACTGTATTCAGGAGTTGGAAGTTGGTACTCTTTACTGTATTATATCCAGGAGTTGGAAGTTGGTGCTCTTCACTGTATCCAGAAGTTGGAAGTTGGTACTCTTTACTGTATTCAGGAGTTGAAGGTTGGTATTCTTCACTGTATTCAGGAGTTGGAAGTTGGTACTCTTTACTGTATTCAGGAGTTGGAAGTTGGTACTCTTCACTGTATCCAGAAGTTGGAAGCTGGTACTCTTTACTATATCCAGGAGTTGAAGGTTGGTACTCTTCACTGTATTCAGGAGTTGGAAGTTGGTACTCTTTACTGTATTCAGGAGTTGGAAGTTGGTACTCTTTACTGTATTATATCCAGGAGTTGGAAGTTGGTGCTCTTCACTGTATCCAGAAGTGGAAGTTGGTACTCTTCACTGTATTATATCCAGGAGTTGGAAGTTGGTACTCTTTACTGTATTTAGGAGTTGGAAGTTGGTACTCTTTACTGTATTATATCCAGGAGTTGGAAGTTGGTACTCTTTACTGTATTAGGAGTTGGAAATTGGTGCTCTTCACTGTATTATATCCAGGAGTTGGAAGTTGATAGACTTCACTATATTATATCCAGGAGTTGGAAGTTGGTACGCTTCACTATATTATATCCAGAGTTGGAAGTTGGTACTCTTTACTGTATTAGGAGTTGGAAATTGGTGCTCTTCACCATATTATATCCAGGAGTTGGAAGTTGATACTCTTCACTATATTATATCCAGGAGTTGGAAGTTGGTACGCTTCACTATATTATATCCAGAGTTGGAAGTTGGTACTCTTCACTGTATCCAGGAGTTGGAAGTTGGTATTCTTCACTATATCCAGGAGTTGGAAGTTGATACTCTTCACTAGCTTCCTTCCATTTATTCGATCAGTTCAAAATTAGAACGATTGTGTTCATAACCCTTGTGTAGATTTACGTAAAAATTCCAAAATAAATACAAAGATTGTTTTTCGGGTATATTTTATACATCTCTATACGGATCAATTACAGATAAGTACTTTTCAACGACAGAAGCCGTAATGACAAAAATGTACTTTTACGCAGCGATTTTTTGTTGTTGTTGTTGTTTGTTGTTATTATCATTATTTTTCATTTTTTTTTTTGTCATTTGCTTTGCCTACTCCCCCTATCCACCCAGCGGCTCAGCGTTAACTTTGAAGGCTTATAATGTTAAAAAGCTGGGTTTTAATACCCATGGTAGTCACAGCACAAATAGTCCATGGTGCAGCTTTGTGGTTAACGACAAACAAAACATTCGTTTCCAAATCATTTCTATTAAATAAGAATCATGACTGTGTTTATGTGCAGTATTATGAAACTAAACATACATTATATATATATATGCAGTATTTGAGGGTGTTTTTTGTTGTTGCTGTTTTCTCAGAATCTTGCATGGTAAAATCTGCGTTCGTTTCCGCAGTCCTCAAAAGTACGCACGGTTCCACTAATGACCAGAGACGGTTCTGAGCTCGAAATTTTTGTTTGCGGCAGTATTGAACGATATTCCAAATAACATAAAGCAATTAACTCATTCATTACCATCACAGTACTTATAGCTTTAAAAAAAAAAACATCAAAAGATTAAGTAATCACATAATGTATCAGTTTAAATACCATCTTTAAAATCCCAGTATGAAATTCATAAATTGCTGTACTAAAAGAAAAAATATACAATAGTTAGCAAAAAAAGCAAAATTTCTGAAACAAACGATCTTCAATTTTTTCTCGGGTAAATGAAAAGAATCAAACTTTCTATTTTTCATTGAAGCTACCAACCGAGGAAATTTCGATGAAGAATAGAACAGTTTGATTCAAAAATATACGTTCTTTTGAAGAAAAAAAAAGGAAAGAAAAACGCCATTGTACATTCCACATTTTTCTCATTTATCAACAGATAACGTTTCAATGAAGAAGGTAAACGGTTTGGTTTAAGATATTTTTTCAGATGCCCAAGAGCAGCTGGAGTTTTTCAGACGTTTTGAAAATTACTGTCGTCAAATTTAATCTAGAAGCAAATATTTTTAGCATTTTTATAATGACAAACAGCGATGTTTCAGTTAAGTATATCAAATTATAAGGACTTCAGTATTTTACCAAATTTTAAACATCGGCAGAAATATTGTACAGACAACAATAAGAGGTTGTTGTTCATTGTTAAACCTTTAATTCAAGTACCATACAAATTAGAGTAATTATTTTCTTGACTTATTATAAAGATACTTTGCATGCTTATTTGAATTCTAAAGTAAAAACACTGTCTTTTAATCCCATACAAAAAGGTCATTTTTAATATAGTAAGTATTATATAAGACTAACATACTTTGTGGTAACATTTGGTAATGTAAAAATGTTGATCCAAAATAGACTACATTATTAACGTGAACAAGGAACTTGTAACATATTTAGAAACATTCTATATAACTCTCATCCATCAATTTGTGTCCAACGTTACTTAAAGTAGTGTAGAATCCTATCTCACCTTCGCACTCCTGATTAACAACGACCATGAAAAGAATTAACACTGCTGCCTGGTAAAGAAACATAATACTATATTAATAACACTACATGTGACTTGAAACTACGCATCGCAACCTCGTAAGTGTAACTGAACTAGGAGTTATCAAGATATAATATAAATAAAGTTTTTAATGGCTTCCAAGAGCTGATTGGTTAAAGAAATAAACAAATGTGCTAAACGTGTAATATAAAAAAAAATAATTGTTTAAGTTGTCCAATAATATTTAAGTTAAAAACGTATGCACTTTTGATGTAAATTTTTCCCAGGAAAGCAACTGCAAATTCATCTATGGGGTGTATTAAGGTCTGAGGGAATGTTTTCCAACAGATGAATAAAATAACGGTTTCCTTTTTCGTTTTATAAGAAGAACAAACGGGTGTTAATATTTATTCAAGTTTGATGCATCTGTTTTAACTCTGCGCGAGAAAAACAAAAAGTCTAACAGAAGCATACACAATATTTTACTTTTATTACGGTTTGTATAACGTAAAAAGTAATTGGATTGTCTCACACTTAGGTTTTCGTCATTATATTTCTCTCGAATACTGCGTTATTATTAGATATTGATAAGTGAATGATCGTTTTGTTATCAAATACCGAAAATAAAAGTTTTAACGTAAATATTTGGTACCAATATTTTTCATTCAACTATACTAACTTTCAAATCTATTTCGGACATATTTCAATACCTCTTTTCAAAATACTTGTGTTTTTTAACCAGAATTTATTGTACATATTCAGCTCATAAGTCTCAGCTTGAGATTAATATTTTGTAAATTTAACGATTTGTAGAACGTGTAACGACCCCTTAAATGAGATTCGTCCGCCAATCAACAACTATCGTAGTCTTTTTTCCCTAAATAGGGGCCGATAGTCGCCTAGAGGGATCACCTGTTTTAACCACAGTAATATGTTGTCTGTCTGTCTGTCAGTCAGTCAGTAGATACTAAAATGACGTCACATACGGGACTCTTAAGGTTGCAATTTGTACTGTCGTGATGTCAGTAAAACGTGCGCATACCATGAATCACGAGAAGAATTATGCACTGTGTAGTCTACAACACAGCATGGCATATGAACTTCAAAAATAAGAATTAAAAATATTTGTTACTCTTAATTTTGGTTTTGTTTACACTTGAAACAGAACATTTTCTGGGACCCTGCGGAAGTACATCCAGTATAAACTCATATTTTAGCATTCTCCTGATTGTCTCAAAAATAATGAGTATCCGAATTTATAAAAAATATTTTATCATGTATACATTCTTCTATGCCTTTAATACTCCCCCATCGAAATAATATTAATAATAACTTGTATAGAAATTATTAACGCATTAACTCCCACAACGCATAAATATATCATTATACAGTTAATAGAAGTATGAATGTTTTAAGCAGTTGTCTTTCAACTAATGATAACATTTCATGATCAAATCCTTGTTTGGATTATGTTCTATTATTTTTATGGTGTAGGTAACTCTATGACATTTCTTTAGTCATAGGATAATTAATTAACCAACCTATCTGTCGTTTTAATCATAGTTTTCTTCCAACGGTATTTAGAATAATTTCATTTTGGTAATTCCTAATCGAAGGTCGAAATTATTGTTATTTTCTTACGTAATATGTTGACTCAATGTTTGCATTAAAAACAAGTCAAATTTCTAGGAAATACAACTCACCTTATAGGAAGTTTGTTTGTTTTGTTGAATTTCGTGCAAAGCTAGACGATTGTTTGTTTGTTTCTTTTTGAATTTCGCGCAAAGCTACACGAGGGCTATCTGCGCTAGCCGTCCCTAATTTAGCAGTGTAAAAACAGAGGGAAGGCAGCTAGTCATCACCACCCACCGCCAACTCTTGGGCTACTCTTTTACCAACGAATAGTGGGATTGGCCGTCACATTATAACGCCCCCACGGCTGAAAGAGCGAGCATGTTTGGTGGGACTGGGAAGCTAGACGAAGACTATCTGCGTTAGCTCTAATTTAGAAGTGATAGACTAGAAGGAAGGGAGCTAATCAGTACCACAAACCGCCAACTTTTCAGCTACTCCTTTCAAACCGAATAATGTGATTTCACCATTACTTTTATAACACATCAACGGCCCCAAAGAGCAGACGTTTTTGACGGTAACGGAAGTCAAATCTCGGATTCTGAGATTCACAGTTAGGTACGCTCGGCCTTAATAGGACGTACATTATATACTTTTATAGATAAAGTATGTCCGCCTAACAACAACAAAAAAAAAAAAAGAATACAATATAGTATTCTCTACTTATAATAAAATGTAAATTAGTTTTATGTTTTGAAAACTGTAGATTTAAATATTGTCTATTTTTTATACCTAGCATGTTTAAGCTTAAATACATTATGCTCTTTTCATATTCTCTGAATTGTCTAGTGTTTCAGACATTCTAGAAAGCTCTAATTAGTTTCTGATATATAAACAAGAGATGCGGTAACAGAGGAACAGCGAGCAATCAACAAAAAAAAGAGATAAAACTTTGCAAGAGGAGAATTTTCAGATTTCTGAGGAAACTGTTAAATAATTATTGTATTTGCATTTAGACATGTATGTTTTGGTGCATTTGTGAAGGCTAATTTTTTATTCACTTGAAATATTGATTATAAAATCTTTAATACTTGAGGGTTTTTTCATGAAATAGTATTAATTACACTTAGTGAATGACATGCAAAGTGTATATATTCGTGAAAAAAAAACGTTTAAATCAACCAGTATAAATCAATTTTAATTTCACAACTCGACTTCTCTACAGAGTTTCTTCAACAGGCGCCTTTGTATACAAAGTAAAAGAAATCAAAAATAAGAAAGAGACAATATACAGAAGGGAACCTTTGTTCCAGAAATAGTCAGATGGGGTGTTGACCTCAATGTAAAGACCTTAAGTCAGCTGGAATGAAGAGTGAATTATCAAGTGATCGGAGTGTAAGAAGTCAATAGCGTAGGCTTATGGTGTTGATATCTGACAATTCGTAGACGTCAGATATGTTTGTTTGTTAGTAAGCTATATAATGGACTATCTGTGCTGTGCCCTCACACTTAACACTGGGCCACTTAGGGAGGGGGGGTCAAATATGTATTAGAAAACTTATGCTATTTGCAAAAGGTATAGTTTTGAAAGTCAGTTGTGGCAACAGCATCCAAAAGACACTGAAGATACGATATCCCGTTATTCCAATAACTTCTAGCTTTTCTCTTTGTTTTGTGTTGTCTTGCGCGATTTAAATTTTCATGTTGGTCTGTTATAAATTATATATAGGTATGTTCACGGGAAATAATCATTAATGGTCATATTTATTCAATACGTAGAGGTGATTATTTTATTTGGACATTTGGACGGCTAACTTAAATATGCCTTATATAGCTTTGCACAATATTCAACAGACATAAATACTTTTTTTTTCTGTTCCGAAATTCCTTAATAGATTCATAGATCGGGTACAATAGTTATAATTTCAACCAGTAGTTTCCAGTTTTATCCATAGATGACAAAATATCTTCAGAAAGAAAAAAAAACGTTATTCATGTCTGACATTAGTTTATTGACAAATTCTCATGTTGTTATTCACTTCGATCCGTACATTACGGGTTTTGGTATAACTGGTAGTAACAGCTTCCTTGAAGAAGATATCAAAACTGGCCACTATTCTAGGTGTGAATCGCCTTTGTTTCAAATGACAAGGTAAAATAAGTAGTAAATACAGTTAAAACTCTTATTCTTTGAAGTATTAGTTTCTATACACGAGGTCCAGAAAGTCGTTGAGATTGCTTTGTTCTAGTTGCTTTGTTTCTTTGTTCTCTATAGTAGATAGTATCTATTCTGCCGTGAGGATATTGCAGTAACATATAGCATCTGGGTTTAAAGGATTAGCGACTGTAATATCTTTTGGTGACTGACTCAACACTGTCTATATGTAACAGCCTACCAATGCTTTCAGAGAACAAAAGTCATGATATGATTCCGTCAATGGTACAAATGAACTTGGTTTACGTGTAGTATTTCAGGTGCATTTTCTTAGTACAGTTGTACCTACGGTTTTTCTAGTAAAGACATACTTTAATATCATCATGTTTAGTTCGATATAAGTCTATCCCAAGAGAAAGAAAACTATGTAATTGTATTTTCTTGTGCACAAGTACATTTGCTGTGTTTTCTTTTCGTTTGTGTCATAATAAAGAATGTGTTCGTTTTGTTAAACTTGTCCAATCTCATTATTTTTTACACACTAGGAAAATTCAATCAATTTATCAAGCACGGATTACTCTCCTTATTTTCTGAACGAATCTTCTGTTATCATCGGATCTAATTATATAATATTTGTCAAGAAATTCTTTCCATTTGAAAATATCACAATATCAACCAAAACAAATAAAAAAGGGGGGTATTATCTTTCATTGGAAAAGATGATTGAAAATCCATCTTTACTTAACAATGACCTTTGCTGTGAATCCAACGTACTGTAGCAAAGAAGTATCTATCTCGGCTGGTAAATTAATGCGTGAATGTAGTGAGGATGAGTTGAAAATAAAGTTGCAATCTGCAAAGCTTAAAAAATTCCTTTGTTACTTAATTTTATATTCCGAAGAGAAAGGTAAAAATAAGGATAAGTATTAACTCACAAGATAGTTAATGTTGTATAGTAGCCAGAATAGAAACTAGTTTAATCACATATGTAGAAAATAACCGATTTACCATAATATAATGCAGGATTTGTTAAAATTTTACATTGGAACCAAATTCGCAAAATAAATCTAATTTTCGATTCAACCAGCAATAGGAAAAGTTCAAGAAGAAAAACCAAAATAATATACATACAAAAGATTGGATTAGACAATAATAAAAGATATAGACAAAAGTCAGTAATAAGTTATTAATATTATATATTCTTAACTAATATAGAATTCGCTAAAGATAAGCATAATGAGATGTTTTTATTATGTATGCGAACTAAAGTATATTATAGTTTCTAGAATACTTAATTCGATTTATCATGGAAAGTTTTCCCGTCATAAAATCAATTGTCTCAAAAATGTGTCAAAGATACCGATTGAAGGACAAACAACTTCTTATGGGGTTACCAAAATCAGCTACCAGAGATGAGTACTTATTTAGTCTCCAAACATATTGATGCAAGATTGCTTGATAAAAGCGATTTCTTAATTAGGTGTCCATTAAAGCCTTACCTTGGACATCACAGGTCTCATTCGTATAAGATTCAGGTTCTTCGGACAATGCTCGAAAATAAATATCTAAGAAAAGTTTTGTGATAAGCAGCAAAGCTATTCATACACTTCTAAGAAATTATTAAAATTGTCAATATCTGTAGTTATTGGTCAGAATAAACCTCATTGGAAATTTAAAAAAAAACAAATCTATTTTTACAGACTCTTTGATGTTCCGATCTCACTAATATTTGAGATGTTTCATTCATGTATGCTTTTACTAATGAGATTTACTTTCCCAGTCCAGGTCTCAGTTCGAGCACCAGTCAGGTAGAATTTTCGGTGCCCGACTTGTGAAAGTGGTTTTTCTCAACACACACAGAGCAAATCCTTGGGTATAGGATCTTTTGATCTTCGCCCCGTCTCCAGCGTTGGATCCTGTGATCCTCTTACGTTTTTTCTTCACACCTAAATACCTGACGTGTTGATGATAATCATTCCTAAAAGTTTTTGGCTTTGTGGCTCTAAATTTTCATGATCAACGTACTTTGCTTTGAACAATCTCAAGATTACCGAATAAGGCTTATATAGATTTTCAAAAACCAGCCTTTTAAAAGATTATCCGTCAGGGTATATGAAAATATGAGTAATTTTCATTACAAAAAGAGGCAAATGTTTTAGCCAGAATGAGACAATTTCAGGTCGTTAAACTATATCACAGAATCTATATAAATATAATAGTACTGTCTGTTGAATGTCCATTTAACTACTTCGCAGGGTGTGGATGGATTTTCACCAATATTAGTATGGAGGTTTATTTGGTCCATGCGGGTGTGCATACAAATTATCAGTTTTGCGGTTTTTACCACTACTTCGCCCCCTGTTGATGGATCATCACTAAATTTAGCATTAAGGTTTTTTTCGTCCAAGCGGAGATACATGCAAATTTGTGGTTTCACATTTTGTGGTTTGCAGTTTTTTTTGGGCGTTTTTGCGAAACAACTTTTCGTGACCTAAGATAACCTTTCATTAATCATGAATTTACATTTTTTATTGCTACTATAGTTTTAAATTAATAAACACAAATCAACAAAGGCATAATAAATTTAAGTAAATGTCGTGCAGTTTTGGCAATTTTGGCTGTTTTTGCAATAGTGGCGCTGCAGTTTGTGGCTCTTGGTTTTCAATATCTTTGTGAGAGGGAGAGACATGGTATAAATAGGTAAGAAAAAAAATTAACTTTAAAACAAAAGTAGAAACTTAAAAATACATGTACGTGGAAATTTCTTTGTTTTTCTATGAATCGTAAGTATAGGCGTGATACTATACCGGTGAAGTAATACTACTGAATATAACACATTAAAACAGTGACGTTCATAATTAACTTATTTACTATAAAAAGCATAACTATAACGTATAAGTTATAACATCGTAAGTATAATTTAGGCTTTAATTGTAATTTGTATATATTTAAAAAATACACATCTTTGTTAACAATTGTGCTATAGTACAAGTTTATTGTTATGAGTTTGTTTATTATTAATAAAAATATTATTATCAACATCTGCTGTTAATTTATCATTATTAATTAACATGAAGTTAAGTATAACTATAAAGTAATACTAATACTACTACTTAATAAACTGTCATTTAAAGCAGCCTCTAGGTTGAACGGGTGCAATCTTCAAGGTACTCATGAGTCGTATTTCATAACAGTACTTTTCCTTGTACCCTGAGCCAGTGTGGTTGGCAGTGTTGCTTGGCTTTGAAATAAAGTTGACCCACAAGTATCAAAATAAAAATAGCTTGATGGTGACAAATTCCTTTATCTCTTGCAGAATTTGAATACAATATATATATATATATCATAAATTGTACATAAACAACAAGTTTTAATAAATAGATACAGAAATTGCACATTTATATTCCAGAAATAGCAGTTGGCAATATTTTGTAAGGTGGTTAGCATGTGAACAGGACTTTCTGATTGATACAATTGATATCAAGATATGAGTGTCAAAAATCTAGTAATATATAGAATTGAGTATCTGTTGTCATGTTGAGTAGTTTGAGATATTGTCAAAGGGGTAATCGTGAAGAAATTGATCAACCCAGTAAATAACATGGGTCATTAATAATGAATAAAACAATTTATTTGTAAAATTTGATATACTATGACTAATTATAGTCAGTACAATCTAATACAAGGAACTTCTAACATAACCTAAGAGTGAAATAGTGATTATAGCCACAATTGTACAATGCAAAGTGCCAGTGATTAATCACTTGTACCAGTATGTAGTAGAAACAAAATAATTCAGAATCAGAACTCCAGGTTGTTTAACCCACTGACTGCTCATTCCCCATTTATGATTCAGAAATACCTCTAAAAGGTAACATAAACATATGCTACTTCAATATATATATATAATTTTTCTCCTCAAATTGTACATATTTAGAAAACTTATGTACCAGAGTTAACAAGTAAACTTGAAACAATGAAAGTTGGGGGAGGTTGTTTTTGATATATTAAAAGGAAAAAAAAATATATATATATATATATATATATATACACAACTAAATTTAACTAATAATCTACAAAGAATACAGTTGTATCTGTGTGTGTTTGCTCACAGTTATTGTAGCATATATATATATATATATGTTGTAACATTACATGCAGCGCATTTAGTACAACAATATATAATATAGTAAACTGACAAGCAATAAATAACCAGTTCTTTTTTGGGGGGAGGGAGAGAAAACCATGCATAAGTCAGTTTTTCTAAGAACAAATGAAATGATGAAAGACAACTTGGAACATTTAAATTACCCTCTTACTGACAAAAATTTCAAAACCTAATTAAACTTAGTAAGAATATGTTTGATCATAATCAACACAAATAGGTAATATTTTCAGAAAACATGCTGATTGTAAAATGGCCTTTATACCTCAGTTAAAATCAATTGATATTATTAATGGATTGAAAGATAAAATTTAACTAAAGGATGAATGTGAAATGTATAAAATTTCAAGTAGTAGTAGTTTAAATTATATAGGGCAGACATGTAGAAATTTGAAACTTAGAATAAGAGAACTTAAAAAATGCAGTTGACAAATTACAAATGAGTGACTTGGCTGAACATGTTACAAGCTCTTCACATGTCATTAATTGGGATTATGTTAAATTAGTTAAAACAGGTGAATTTCAAAATTGAACTAAATATAAGAGAGTCATTACAAATTCTTTAAAAAAATGATGAATTTGAATAGATGTTCAGGTGCCATGGACATGAATATCTGGAATTCTGTTTTGTAAATGACAGTACAGTATGCTAATTGTACATTTACATTAGTACATAAACGAACCTTATGCGTCCTTCTTGGTCTTCTGAAGATGGTGGACCATGTTGTCCACTAAAACATGTAAAGCATGTCATTTTGTTTTCAGCCTTATATAAATAAAGTTGTTATGAACATTTCATGTTCATATCATAATTTTTTATTTTGAATAATCTAGTTTACTTGAATTCCATTTATATCCATCTTCTACTTTCTTCCATCCAGCCACTTTTCTATTCAATGAGTGTTTTTTTATCAAGCCTTTTATGTAGCACCTTGTCAGATGTTTTTAAAATTCCAGGTACACCAACTCCACATCTGAACACAAATCTACATCAGCAGTAACTTCAAAAAGTGTCAAAGAATTAGTAATGCAAGATTTTTTCCTAACGAAACAATATTTACAATCCAACAAAATTTTAAACGTTCATAAATTACCTTGCAAAGAATCTTATCAGACTCTCATACTTTTTGCATCACTGATGTAAGACTAATAGGCCTATAGTTAACAGGATTATTTTTATCACCTCCCTTGAGCAACATTAACTAACTTCTAATTTTCTGGCATCTGCTCACTATTCAAGGACATACATAAAATAGTAGCAAGTGGCTTGAATATCCAATCCACAACCTCCTTCAAAATCCTTGGGGTAATATTATATGGCCAAGGAGCTTTATCATTTTTAAACTTATAAATATTGAAACTTAGTTGGATTTGAAGAACAGTGATAATTGGAATTATTAGTTATTTGATGGTGATAGACGTTTTGAAAGAGATGTTGGGGTGGCTAAATATATTTATAATGGATGAACTGCACTCTGTTAGGACTGAAGATAAAAAAATGTGTGAAGATGTTAAATGTGTGTTACGTTCAAGGAGTTTGAAGAGTAGAAATTACTTGTAATTGACAATTGTTACTTGATCAGACAGACCTTATTGGTGAGTAGTTGTAGAATGAGATCATAGTTTTTATTAATAAGAATACTGATGCACTTTGCAATGATTATAGGAGACTATAATTTTAGACACATTGATTAGGTTTGTATAGAGTCCAATAGTAGTGGAAAGAATTTTTTTCAGGTCAGTAGCAGGATCATCAGGTTAACTAGAATATGACAGACATAGTAGTGGTGTAGATGCTATTTATATCATCGTTTTTTTTCATCCGTAACAACTGTTATGTTGTGAACCAGATTAAGCAATTGAATTTTTACAATTTCAGTCAACCTTTTTCTTTTTTTTTATTTCCTAATTTCCTGTTTGACTAACTATCTTAATTTTCTGGAGTAATGCAAATCTCCCATAATTTCAGTGAACTTAAACTTCTTATGTTTATAACATTTTTGTTTTGTCTATAAGGACAATGCTAATCTTGATATAAATATAATCATTTATTTTAAAAAATTTTCCACATTTGATCAGTGTCTCCAACTAATTCATCTGTTCGACTCACAGCACATAATTCTTGTTTCGTCTCTTCAAAATTTGTTTTTTGAAATTTGGAACTAAAATCTCATTATTCCTTATCTCCGTATAGAGCAAAACATAAAATCTAATTGAGCAATGATCACTTGCACCCAAATTCTCCATCCTCTATGCTGTCATTCATTTCTTCATTAGAAGTTAACAATAAGTCTAAAAGAGCATTATTTTTAATACATTTCCTAACCAATTGGTAAAGAAAACCATCTTGAACTGTTTCTAAAAAATCTGTCTACCTCATGATTTGACTCAAACATTTTCCAATTTATAAGCCTGAAATTAAAACCTCCAATAATTATAACCTCATTGACAGTTGAATTCTTTATCTCACTGTAGAATTTTTCATTAATTTCATCAGTTTCATCTGGTGGTCTGTAACAAATTCCAACTGAAAGCCTTCTCGTATAAATGTTAACAAAAACTGAAATAGATTTAACCTCGTTGGTAGAAGCTTTGATATCCTTAACTTGAATGGGCTGTAACTTACATTTTACTTATAAAGCCAGTCCTCCCCTTCTTTTTATTACTCAATCCCTGTTAAACCACCCATAACCCTATATTTCAAAGAAATTCTATTCATAACAAGTGTCTACATTTCCCCATATTTCAGTTATATCCATTATTTCAAAATTTTCTGTTCTGACCAGTGTTCTAACGTCATCCATTTTATTTCTTATACTTGTAGCATCATAATATAGTTTAGCCTACCATTAAAACTATCTTTGTACCTCTGCATCTTATTTTTTCTTCATTATTCTGGCCTTCTCCATTTTCTAATCCTAGAGTTGCTCTTACAGTTGATTTAATAGTCTTTGCAAACAATCCAGCCCCTGCCTTATTTAAATGTAAACCATTCATTCCAGCCAGCTCTTCCTTACATATTAACCTAAGCCTAGTATTCAGCCCTAGTGTAGTCTGAGTGGAAAAATGAAATTGTTGAATATACTACATTAGGGGTAATAAGTTTAAATTTTGAAAGCCTAGTTTCATCCTTGTTCTTTCACAGTATAACTGTATTTGGTGCATAAGTCTTAATGAAGTAAGTACAAATAATATTCACCAGCTTGGACTTGTATTTAAATAGTGAAATATTTTATATAAGCATGTGCATAAAATGTACTAACAGTTATTAAGCATTTTAAAGTAATATTGTAACTATATATAAGAACACATTCCGTAATTAACAAACCAACAAAAACAAATATGACTCTTCATGGTACCTATATTTGTATTGTGGTGTTCTGTTATCACCTAATTCCTTCTATTGCTTACCGCATAGATATGATATTCAGATTCATTGATGTGTATAGTTCTCAAAATACACTCCCAATATACACCTCATTGACCAGACTTACAACAGAATTGGCAACAAATTCATGAGGTAAAATATAGTATA